ACGTGACCTTTGAGCCCTCATGCGGCACTGCATGAGAAACCATCGTGCTACTCGTACTCTGTTAAATATATTAAACAATGGTTCTCTGAAGTTTGTTGGAAAACATTTGTCACTTAACACAGTCTTAAAAAAATCTCTGTGATGCAAGGAGAAATATACATCTGTTTAATGCAGAGTTGCTGCTGAGTCCAAACACTGACATTGAGTTCTCAGTCCCATTTAAAAGAAAGGGACCATCCAGACTATCATCAGCGACATGCAAATGCAAACATCTGTCATGGTATGAGGTGCATCAGTGCAAACAGCATAGGAGACTTTCATGTGTGTGAAGGTATTTGACATGCAGGCGTATATTGGGATTGTACAGAGACATAAACTGTCATCAAGATGACATCTTTTCTGGGAAGCAAAACAATGCCAGGCCTCATTCAGCATGTGCTACAACTGTGGTTTTGTATACACTTTTACACCAGAGTGGATGTGCTTGCTGCAGTCCAGATCGGTCTCTTATTGAAAATGTGTGGCATGTCATCAACAGTGGTGGAAAGAGTACTGAAAAAACATACTCAAGTAAAAGTACCATTACATTCCAAAAAATGTAGTGTGAGTAGAGTAAAAAGTACTTGTCCAAAAAACTACTTGAGTAAAAGTAAAAAAGTAGCTTATTTAAAAGTACTCAAGAGTAGTGAGTAGTGAGTACTGAGGTGCGGATTCTAACCTTTATAATAAACACTGTGCACTACAACTTATAAGTTTAAAAATGCACATAATAGAATTCACATTATATTTTGTTCTTTGTAAGAAAGATTGAAGAATATCTATCATCCATCTTTTTAAAATGCATCAAATCAGTACACTCATCACCATTTAAATCATATTATTTGGGGGGGAAAGCATTTAAAATTAGGCGAAAAGCCACTGGGCCTGAGCATGTTATTGTTGCACATAAAATATCAATATTCATAACTGTGCAAATAATTCAAAAACCTTTAGAAACTCATATGATAGTTCAGCATCACACACCAAGAGATGGGTTGAATAAAAAAATACCCAATTTCTCTCCAAAACGGTACCAATGTTAGTGTTTTGATAATCACTAATATTATCATATTACCTCAACTAATGCACTGAAAAAGGCTAAGATAGTGAGCTAACACTAATTACACACTTTAATTCCATGCTATTAAATATGTTACAATTTAAACGTAAATGCATTGTTCTAGAAGGGTGGCATCATCCCTTACATTTTACACGGCTACATTTACTCACATTGTAATGCTGATAATATAATTTGAAAGGACAATTGTGCATTAAATAGGGAAGTTATATCCAGGAAACTTTTACAAAAGAAACAAACACACTTTGACTCTGAAGTCTCGGCGAAGCCGTTTTATCAGCAGCATGATATCCACACAAAAAAAAGTTCAGCATGAAAAAATGTTTTTGCGCAAGTGCACTTGCCAAATGAAGACGGATCACATAATGGATCAATCAAAAAACGCTGTTTATTAACGAGCTGTGCTAATTTCTTATTAAGTAATGCAGTTCAAGTTAACGACATGGTGCACTGATTCTGAATCTGGCGGCATGGCGAGCGCGAGACGTGGCAGATCGTGACGCGCGTCTCTCCTGTGATTGTGAAGTAAATGGGAGCGGGAATTCACCGCATTATGAACTCGTCTCGCAATTCCCCAAACCTCAGACCAAATGTTAGGCCATGTAGACAGGCCAGCCTTTATAAATATCATATTAAGAAGAAATGTGAAATGTACCTTAGCATATTAGAGGGAGACGCTGATATCTGGATTGAATTGATGCGTGATGAATGCACTTCCACCGCAGTCACGAGTAACAGCAGGAATAGGCGGTAAGTTTTATATGCTTAATTTGAATTGATGACAGTCACGAGACCGATTACTCGATCCAATCACGTTGATGGATAAAAATAAAATTAAAACAAGCATGTAACGAGTAACGGCCACAAACAGAAGGAAAATAGCGGAGAAAAAGTACCGATACATCACTTAAAATGTACTCAAGTAAAAGTAAAATTACACAATTTTAAACTTACTCAAAAAAGTACAATTTCTGAAAAAAACTACTTAATTACAGTAACGTGAGTATTTGTAATTCGTTACTTTACACCCCTGGTCATCAAAAGCAGAATCAGACAACGACGACCACCGACTGTTGAGCAGATGTCTTATATCAGGCGAGATTACGCAAAAATTCAACTTACAAAACTGCAACAGTTAGTCTCCTCAATTCCCAAATGATTAAAACATGTAGCCTAGGCTATATCTAAAGGGAAAGGTGGTGTGAGACAGTGGCAAATGTCTTTTTTGGAGATTATTGCAGCCACCAAAAATGAAAAATATGTAAATTTACAAAATACAATTAAGCTGGTCAGTGAAGTTGGTCACGGATATTTCGTAAGTTTTACCTTTAAGGTAAAACTTCAGAAATCTCCGTGTACACAATGCGTGACTTCGACGCGGGAGAGCGTCTGGAGACGGTTCAGTTCGGTTCAGTTGGACATCTGATTCAGATCAGTTCGACGGCTGTTAACAAGAGGTAAATACTATATAAATACTGTTCGTTTTCTCACACAAACCGCTCGTTTCGTGTCTTAGGCCAATGTACTTAAATTCACGAGTCATTAAATCATGTTTAATTTTGACTTCTCTGTGCATGCTCTTTGTGGTGGACCCCCTAAAACTGCGACTGACAGACAACACCGGTTTGACTGAAAAAATGTCAAAATTGAAAATGCTGTGGAAACAAAGACACTACATCTTGGATGCCCTTGAGGTAAGCTAAAATATATCAAAAATGATTACAAAGTGAACTATCCCTTTAAGGTTAGGGGAACGTTTGTACATTTTTCAGTTAAACAAAGGTTCAGAATTGACAAATCACAGATTCATGATTATTATTGCATTTGACAAAATGTCCCAACTGAAAATGGGGTTTGTAAGCTGCAATAGAGAGCTCTCTTTTATGTCTTTAACAGTAACTTTTTTAGGAGGAAAGAGATATGAGTACAGTTATTTAATATAATAGTTTAGACTACATGTATACATACAATTTGCAAGACTATAAAGCTTTACGAAAATGGACAAGCAAGATCCTGGATGCTCAAACGCACACAAGAGGGCGCACTTTCTACAGAATGTTTTTGAAGTTTCCTCCAGTGTCTACTAGTTTATAGTGTTGTTAAATGTCTCCTGGAGAGAGTGTCTCTGGTGCAAGAGAGAGGCGTTTCTGCATCCCTGGCATCAGTAAATGCATCAAAGGAGTAGTATCACTTTAGGGATTTGGACAAAGGGCTCCACCACTTTTTTGTGTGGGTATGTGTGGGTTTTTTTAAATATTTTTTTTTAATGTGCTGGCAGTGACAAGTAAACCCCTGAAAGCACTGTTCCTCCTCGTTTGATTACTATACGATCAGATTATACAGACCATTTTGAATGGTTGAATCCATGTTTTTATTATAGTAACATACCTCATTGCCATCCACAAAGTAGTCTGTTTGAACCAAATCGGATCAAAATCATCTACAATGCTTACAGACACACACAACATAACAGTAAGGAACAATAAGACAAATAGACTATGTCCAGAATAGATCTCTAACATGACTACTACTTCTGTTGTATGTACTGTGGATATAGTGCAAATATTGTATTCATTGCATAGAAGGATCACTATTTGCCAAAATATGCTGTATGCAACTGAACACTACTCACAATTAAGCGTGCAATGTAATGAGGTCATTTGACAATACTGATGTTTAATGCTATTTTTAAAAATAGTAACACCAGTATGCAATGTATATTACTGTTATGTTATATATATATTTTTTAATTTCATTAACCGCATTTCAGTGCACTGGGATTGATTTTAACAATGGGACAGTCCTACAAAACTCCCAGCTATGCGCTTACTTTTGAACTAGGTTTGATTGAGACACAACCTACCCTGTTATATAGTATGCAAAAAGCAATACAGAATGTGCAGGATTCACAAAATGGAAAATTCTGATGTGACCTATTCTTCTGCCCAGATTCTTTAGTACGCATCTGATGGACACTATTATCCCATAATCCCATGGAAGAGATATTGACATATTCATAAAAAAGCCTTTGTGGCTAACGTTGTAGTTTTTGTGGCAATGGCAACGGGGTGGATAGTGTGTCCAGAATCAGATCCTTCTACACTTGTATAGATGGAGAGTACTAAACTACACACTGCACTGGTTATACTGGTTATATGAATTAAATATATGCACTGGTTAACGAAGGACACACAGGTGAAATAGGCACAATTACTATGACAGGACACAGGAAATGGAATACATGACCTAGACAAAAAGTAAATTACATAAAGTGTTAACTAGGGAAATATCTGGAGATATACGTAACAAGTAGAGTCTGGCAAACCTGAAGATAATAAAACATTGAAGAAGATAATAAAACATTGAAGCCTTGAAAAGCAAACATTTGCATATGATGTGGATCAGCTCTTACAATTTTAATGCTTTGAACGTCACGTTTTCGTCAACATCATGATGAATGTAAATGCCTTTTACGTCATCTTTCTGATGTCCAAAGTATGTCAATAATTGTGCCATGGACTTTATCTAATTTAGAAAGATCACCTCTTGATCAATATTTTTTGGATTCGCATATAATGTGCTTCACGAATTCTAGCCTACATTTTGTTTTTAACTTTGGAATATGTGTCTGATGCAGTTTGACCCTTATTCAACTTCTGCAATGGTTAGCCACAATTACCAACAACCTAGAATGAGTATTTGACCAACAGGCCATTTATTGCACTTTAAAATTGAACAACTTCAATCTACTACTTTATATCTAAATGAAACATTTAGCCAAATTTTTTTTTTTTTTTTTTTGGAAACTTTGCATTAAGTTCTTAGTATTCTTAAACTTGGCTGATATGGTTTTATTGAAAGAAGAACACCGGAAACAAAGACGACTCATTCAAATATAGTGAACTTTATTAGCACTGTTATACTGTACAGTTAGTAATGTTCTCTTTTGATATTTGGGATTACAATGGACACAACACGCATATACACAGTAAGTCTCTGTACAATTGTCTTGTTGGACGGCTGACTGATCTTCGATGAGCTCAGAACGGGTACACGTCAACAAGGCCATATTCAGTGGAACCATATTAGCATTTCACATAGACGCGCACTTGTACAGACAGAAGGATTTGATGTGTTATTTAAATGTTCGACAGTGTTTTCACTATCCTGATTATGGCTGTGGAACTTCACAGAAAGTTGTTGATCTTGATGATACAGATTTCAATTTGATGAGATTTGGTGACCGTATAACAGGATGACACATGGATATGACTGTGTTAATTGCTGAGATCACCACATCAAATGGTCCTCATATCTGTGGATAAATAGCCATAAATTCTTATAATCAAACAAACAAAACGTTCTACACAATAAAGTGTTTGCTGTTCCACTTGATGTTTTTATTGTTTAACTACTTAAGAATGGTGAATGGAACACTAGCCTATAATAATAATGTTGTCATAAAATAATAATCAATTAATTATTAGCTATCTTAAGTCAGTTTATAAGCCTTACCTGGTCTGGGGATGGGACTCTGTTTCACCAATCAGAAGGTCTGATATTAAGGTGTCAGCGCTGGACCTTTTGCCATACCTGTCAAACAAAACAAAGATGTCAAAATTACATCAGTGTATGAATGATACAGTAGGCTACTTATGAGTGGAGTCAACTTTTGTAAAAAAAAAAAAAAAAAAAAAAAAAAAATGTAAAGAACTTATAGTTACTGAAACTTCAAAAATAAAGCTAAAACGTGACCTCATTATACTAATAGGACTATGTGAAACAATATATATCTGCCCCCATTCTAGATCACATAGATCCCAATGTCAATTTACACTTGATTCACACAACTCCTAGACGGGTTTACGCTTTGGTTGAAGTGCATCATTCCCATTTCCACGTATATGTCCTTCATTTTTCTCTAGGCGGAGGGATAACAATACTATAGTTATGCGGAGTAATTTCAGCTTATTTGTAACCGTTTCTTAATAGCCTATTTCTGATTGATACTTCGCTCGCTGTCAAAACGGTATATTTCGTCACGTCAATAATTAAAGAAAGGCAATCAGCAATGATTTTTTTAAGAACAAAAGCACATCCCGCTGTTAAACACATTTAAAGCGCTGTGTAGTGCGCAGTCAATTAGAGAGTCAGTGGGGGGTTATGTATTAATACAGTGATTTTGAAAAGAAAGAAACGGGACTATATTTTCCAGTCCCTATTGCTTCAAGGTAGAGAGCCCATTTTGGTGTTTTTAAAATAGGCGATTCCTAAATAGGATTCAGTTTTGTCGCTCAAAAATAGGCGAAGTGATGTTGTTGAGAGAAGAAAGTAAACCGAGAAAGAATTTTAAAACATTTCCATCCGATTCTTTTGAGGAGTAGCCTATTTGTTAGAAGTAAAAGTAAAGAGCTCACCTCTGCCTTGTTATGAGGTTGATGTAGTGTCTTAGTGCAGAATAATACTTGGCGAGCTCCTCCGCAGGTGCGTCCTCTCCCGGGTTGTCAGGTTTTGTTGGATACCCTTCCGTAAGAGTTCCCAAGCAGGCGAACAAGAGGAAGGCGCACGCTGCCCAACCGATCCACATTTTCATGTTTGGATGCATCTGCGATAAAAACAAACAAACAAACAAACAAACAAAACAAAAAAGCAAAATGTTTGCGCTAATACCCACTCTAATGTTCTAAAACCATCTCATAATTACAAATCTTAACAGAAGACGTTTGGGGTGGATTGTGGTCTGCATTAAACTAGAAATAGCATTTAACATTTAAAATTAATCGCGATATTTAATATTACTACTAGCATAATAGTAATATTTCATAATAGTTACATTTAATTACTTTTTTAAATAAAACTTTAAATAAAATAAAGCTTCCAAATAATATAAAGGCATATAAAAGGTGCACTTACTCTCAATTGAATGAGGTCTTGATTGCACTTCTTGCTCGGTGGGTCTCGACTTCTCTGATTTTCTGCATTCTGAGTCGTGTGTCGTCTGGTTTTATACCTGTACGGCTCGTGCCATAAAGAGCGGAGCCCACGCGCAATTGCGCGCGACTCTTGATGCGCGCGAGCACGCGTCACGGATTAAAACCTCTGTCATCATCACTGCTTTAAAACGCGCTGGTTTGGTCCTCATTTGAATGCGTGGGAGGTTATTCAGGGACGCTATTTTGCACTTAACAGAAAAAGTTCGAATCATGATCTGAAACTTTCAGCTTTGTTCAGCTGTTTCACCTTTTAAACTTATTCAGTTGTTCTGATGTTTTTTTTACTAAAAATGCCATCCTGATATCTGCCTATAGCCTACACATTTACTGAACATGATAGGCAACGTTTCAATTATCCCATACAAAGAGCCCTTTTATGATTATCATGTTGAGTGTTATTTATGGATATCATGCCAGATGAAATCTTTATTGCACTTTCACAACTCGGTTTCAATGAAGCATTTGTCTCACATGTTTCCCATTAAAATTATAGAAGGAACACAAACACACATGCTTCAAATGCTTCAACATGCAATATGATTAATAAACTTATAAAATGAATGTGGATAGCTTAACCTTTAGATGAATATAAGAATATTCTAATCTTACAAAAATCTGATTTTTGATTGCAGACTGGGTATTTTGTCATTCGAGAAGACAGTTTATATTACTGAGGTCTTTTTTTTTCAAATGTAAAATCTGAAAAGGGACCCCCCCCCCTCCTCTCCATGATTCCCTTATAAGAAAAATAATGAAGTAAAATGCACATCCCCAAAAACTAAGCATACAAATGATGTGTTTTTTTTTTTAAAGTCAAATGAAATTAATTATTTAAACACACCTTGAAATGGAGAGGAACTAAAAAATGTAATTATTCAGGCATGACATGAAACAGTGTCAAAATGCATTAGCTTTGCAAAATGCACTTGTCAAAGGCAAACTGTCTTCGTAATGACAAAATAATATGTTCTTTGTGTTGTTGACTGAGGCTGTGTTGTGATAAGGAAAATGTTGTGGGGCCAGAATGTCTTTTTTTGACAACAACTGTAGATAATTACATGCACAATCATTTTTTTAGTTGTTGTGTTACATAGGGCAGTTTGTCCCATTTAACATCTTTCACTTTTTTTGATGTTTTTGTTCTCTCTCTCTCTCTCTCTCTGCCAATCTCTCTTTCGCACTGCACTGATGAACAGTATAGAGCTTTGAAAGGAAGCACCTCAAGTTCATCTCATTCACCAATTCATCTCCATTTATTGCTGCACATCTGCTTCCACTCACTCAGACGTATTAAATTTACTAGTCCTTACTAAAACGTGTGGCTCCAGTTTATATTCTTTCTCTTTTTGCAGCAACCACCATGAGTGTGTATGTGTGTGTGTACTGTACTGTGTGTGAAAAAAGTACAATAATTATTATACATTTTCAACCTTAAAAGGGAACATATAGTTCCTCCTTACTGTAAAACATACTCTCCCCAACCCCGACCCCTGCATTTCCCTGAGCGTTATTCACAAAATATTACACCTTGCTTTGAAAACATAACAGCATGGTCTATTGATAACACTATAAAATGTTCTGTCTGCCTTATTATGTTGAGGTAACTGCGTGATAATAGCCTGAAACATGCATGTATGGAGTTTGCGGTTTAAATCTGCTGCTAAATAATTGAGTTAAAAGAAGTAGCATTCAAAGGACCAGATTACGTCAGAACAAATTTCCTAGAAAATTATGTGCCTGTGATTATTGTGTTTTAAAAGCTTATTCAACCGTAGAAAAAAAATATAATTTAACTAAAACGATAAGTGTCTGTATGTGTGTACATTTTAAGAAGCAATCTTTCAAGAAAATAAAGGACAGAAGCGAACCACAGAAATACTGGTGCTGTGGTGCCACCTGTCTCCTCCACCGGTTTGCCTTCAGGCTTGTACAAAGTCACAGGTCAGACAAAAAGGTGAGATATAACTTTAATGACACCTGCTGACCTGTAAACTCATGTCTTAGAGCTGCCAATCCAATAATGTCTGCCAAGAAAGCAGGTAAACTGGGAACATGACGTTTTTTTCATCACCTGTTCATTCCTATACATAAACATGCTGTATAAAATCAAAAAACATCCAAATAGAATTTTAGAGCTGCATTAGTGGAGGGGATTTATCAATGAAGCTTTTTGCAGGTTACAAAGTGGTAACAGGTTACTGTTTTTATTTTAATCAAGCTATTGGCTAGTTCATTCAAACAATTTGTTCAATAACATGAATCACCCTGTGTTCCATTTTGAAGGTATAATTTGCCTTAATCCCTCCAAAGGGTTTACCATCTAGACTAGAGGAAGAGCGTCGAAGGGATGAAGGGTATAGGGGACCAAAAAAACTGGCACTTGGAACGCACTTTTGCATCATCTTGCCGAGATAATTAAGGTGAAAATTCCACCAATCAGAGAGATGCCACTATCAATATGCGCCAAAAGAGCTCTTTGGTTCTGCCCACTTATAATGTCAGCCGTCAGCCTCAAAATATGCTTTCAAAACACTTCAATAACCCTGTGGTGAAAATCAAGTATTCAATGTTGTTTACGTCTGTGTGGTGTTTTTAATTTGCTTTGGGACTAACCATGTGCAAATTCAAGTCAACACCATTGCTTGAGTATATTCTCTTTAAAATTGCAGTGATCTAAAGACAGTCTTAAAAACATGGTTTGAAATTGCTGGTGTTTCTGACGTTTGTAAAACCAATTACGTCAATGTGCTTTAGCAGTGGGCTTTAGCATATCATTAATTGATGTAGGGGAATCTCAAGCCAGGTTATCCTGGTATATGTTTCTGTTGATGTGAAAAATAGGGTTGATTTAACGTTATAGCGGGTGTATGTATTAATGTTATGACGAACTATGAACTATATGCCTTTTGAGGTTGTTCAAAGTGTTTAGGATGCTGAATTTTAGAAGGCAGCTGTCTGACTCAAAGATTGTGAATAGGAACATGGTTTGTGTAGCTGTTTGATAACGCAGTCAAGCAAAAGACTAATCATATTAATTACCATTATGCAATACCATTGTGCCTCAGGTAGTTTAACAAGTGGATCTCTGAGCTGGTGTGAGTGAATGGAGGTGGGGCTAATTTACATATTCATTAATCCGCGTATACTAAATGAAGCAAGGGTGTAGAGTTACATTCAAGCTAGTTAAAGGCATGAAGACATTTTTTCCCCTGAAAAAAAACAAAACATTTAAATGTGTAATTTTTGTGATCAAAGATGAATTTGAGGTGTCTATTGGGGGTTCGATCTATTGTTCGACATTTTTTAATGAGTAGTTTTATATTGCTACTTTTTTGCTTCGAATCAAAGTTTGTAATTGTGGCAACGCTCGTTGTTATGGTAAGAAGGAGACGGGAACCTGCAACTATTTAAAGACTTTCAATAAATAAATAAACACAATGAAAGTAAAGACGGCATCCCCTCACGGACGACTGCCGCCACATATAAACAGAACTTCAAATATAACAGTCCAGGCCTGGTCCTCTCTCGTCCTTCACAGTCGTCGCTCCCTCCTTTTATGCTTACGTTCCTCTCTAGCTGTTCTCTCACGGTCCTCGGCCTCGTACTGCTCATCACAGTAATAACATTACTGTGCCATACTAATGCCATAGCATGGCATTAATATATAGTAGCTAGGTGGCTTGGTTCAGACTTTTTTTTGTGGGATAAATGAATGGAAACCATACTTCTGGAACCAGCACTGCTTAAAAAAGCGGTGGGCAGGGTAGTAGTCTATGTACACTGATTGCCTGAGCAAAGAGTTATCCATGAGCAAAGTGTCTATCAGTTGTACCCTTTGAAATCTTTCATTCTGAAGGGCCTTTTGATTTGGCCAGTTTTGAGCACTTCAGTTTAGAGAGATCTTTCAATATGGGGGCAATGATTGTTCTCACTCTGAAGTGAGCGTCGATGGCGGATTTATCCCATTTGGAACACAGCCTCATTCCGTTTTATTATGAGGGATCCAGGGTACAATCTCTTTTAAGGTGTCCTTGTTACAGTGTAATTACACAGTTAAATACTGAGTAATTGTTCACTCTGTACATGCTACCCTTGGGAGATATCATTAGGAAGCATGGAATTATTTCCATGTTATGCTAATGATACTCAGCTCTATATTTTGTCATGCCCTGACGAAACTTACCAATTCACAAAATATAAAATATAATATAAAAAACTGGACTTCCTGGACTAGTAATTTCCTACTTAATTCTGAAAAAACATGCTCTTATTTTTTCATTTGATAGCCACGTCTCTAGTGTCTACATCTAAAAAATATATCTAAATTACGTCATATGCTCACAATGACAAATGCGGAACAATTAGTTAATACGTTCTTGACATCAAGGCTAGAGTATTGTATTGTAATGGTCTTATGGGTGGTTGACCTGCATGCTTAATAAACAAACTACAGCAAGTGTTCTTACCAGAACTAGAAAGTATGACTAGCCCGTTCTGTCAACACTGCATTGGCTGCCTATTAAACATTGTATAGATTTTAAAATATTACTGATACATTTTCAAATATTTGTAAGTACAAATATTGTACTTACAAAGCACTAAATAGCTCACCAGTACTTGAGCAAGCTCTTAACGCATTATAGTCCGTCACGTCTATTGCAATGTCAAAATTAATACCAAGAATATCAAAATCGACTGCTGGCGGTAGCTATATACTTTTCCTATTTAGCACCAAAACTTTAAAGAGCAACATGTGTAGTACTCCTGTTAGTACAAGATAATGAAAAGAAGGACGCATTTGTGATTGCTTCTCGTCTCTGCATTTACTACTAATGAATTAAAGTATATGCATATTACAGCTGTAAACATTTTGCATATTCAGGGTTTACAATTGCCATAAGTGACACCCTAATAGGTCATTTTTATATATATATATACACTTTAACTTTAGCATGTATACCCTTTATCTAACTAATAACATGAGTGATGATGTAACATACATTAAGAATCCACTCTCTTTTCTCAG